AGCCCGCGGCTGGCGTCCGAAATAAGCGGGACCGGCGACGGTGCCTCCGGAAACAGCGGTAATTTTGGCCGGAGTCCGTGAATGAGCGGTCCCTGCTCGGAAGCGAAGACAAAACGTGCACATATCTAGTCGCCAAAGCCGCGGCAGGAGACATCACGCGGGACGCATCAGAAGTCGGTGGGGAAGCAGGCCCTGAAGATGCGAGACCAGGCGGGACGATGAAGACCCCCGGGGACCGCCGAGAATTCTCGCAGACAATCGTTGAGTCCGTCAGAGCATCCAACCGACGCGGGTGATGTCGGCGAAAATCCCCAAAATCGGAGGGCTGCAACGCTGGGGGCGAAAAAACTCCCGCCGTGCAAGGAGGGCGGAGCCCACCCAAACCGACCTCCGGTGTAGACGACGAGTGATAGTTGCGCCCGCAAGCCCAAATGAGGAAAACAACCGCTTGATCGACACCATCAATGCAGTCATGGCCGGTTTTGTCAGTGTTTTGTGCTGGTAAAGGCAACCGCGAAGTAAACCCGCGTTGCCGTTTGCCGAACCTTTCCGATATTTCAGGGTGTAGGTGAAGTTGGACAGGAATTCGAGCCATCGTTGCACCCTAGCGTTGTGGTCCCCAACCTTACCAATGCTCTCCAAGGCTTTGTGGTCCGAATAGATGATGAACTTGGTCGACCACAGATAACCGCGAAGGCGGTTGATGGCCCAAACAATGCCACCAGCCTCCAGATCCAAAACGGTCCAGTTACCCCCCGCAGGACGAGTAGCGCGACTGATGTACACGATGGGTCTCACCGAGCCATCGAGCTGTTCTTGTTCCAAGGAGGCGCCAAAACCGTCGATATACGCGTCGGAACACAAACGAAGAGGACGGCTGTTGTCCTCGATTGCTGCCCAATCCGGGAAGACCGAAATCGGGGGGCGAGCGAGTTCGCTTAACAACGTTTTGACAACCGTGACCATGCCCGGGGTGTGCTTGAAGGGGACGCCTTGTTTGAGAAGAGAGTTGAGAGGCCGCACCTTGGTGGCGAGATTCTTGAGGAATTTCCGGTAGTAACTTAGTCCACCGAGAAGGCTCCGAAGCCGCTTAACATTCGTCGGCGGCGTCATGTGCGTGAGCGCCCTACCCTTGACGCCATCAGGGCTAACACCTGCCGGAGAGATGGTGTGACCGAGAAAGTCGGCGTGCGTGGCGCCGACGCGAGCCTTCCCTGGAGACAGTTTGAGGTTGTACTGTCGCAGTCGTTTGAAGAACTCGATCAAGTTCAGCACTTGTCCCAGAGGTTCCTCATCGAAACAGATGACATCGTCCAGATAAGCAAGCACACGCTCCAGACCGTGCACCACTCTGTTGATGACCTTGACGAACCAAGACAGACTTGCGTTGGCGCCCTGCGGCATCCGAAGCCATTTGAACAGCTGCGTGGGAGTGCAAAAGGCGGTGAGCGGGACAGTGTCTTCATCACAAACGATCTGGTGAAAAGCCGAGTTGAGGTCGAAGATGGAGAACACTTTCCCGGAGTACAGGGAATCCAAGATACCGTCCACTCGAGGGAGAGGTTGTCCATCCAAATCCACCAGAGCGTTTAGACGTTTGTAGTTGACGGTGATGCGAACCGATCCGTCCTTTTTGGGGATGACAACTAAAGGACAAGCCCACGGCGATGTGGAATGTTGAATAAGTCCTGCCGCCAAATACTGGTCCAAAACGGCATCCACTTTCTTGTGCATCAACGGGCTGATACGATACGGGCGTGATGCAACGGGCTTCGTCCCTGCTGGGACAGAAAGAGTGAACGGCATGATGGTGCAAGAACCAAAATCGGNCAGGCGCTGTGACTCAGAGAAGCGGTCAAGTAGTTCTTGTGGAGGCGGCTTCGGAGGAGGCGGGGCGGAGGCTGGGTCCGGAGAGCGGTGAGTCCCGGACTTGGGGCCAACGGCGTTGACCCGAGGTGGTGATGTAGATGTTGTGGGGCCGGTGGGAATCGAAGATGGTGCCGCCTTCAGGGTTTCCACTGGTACTCGTAGAAGCGGCGCGGCAGACACTCCAATAACGTCTCCCGGCTCGAGCTCGGCACAACCTGCAAGGGGAATACGCTGGAGAC